GCCTTTGGCAACGCCTCTAGTCCCGCCTTCCTTGCCTAATTGGTTTATTCAAACAGACCCCGGCCAACTCAGCCTTTCATTGGTGGGTGTAAGAGACCAGCTACGATTGGCCGTTCAGGACGGAACCGGTGAGAGCGAGTCAGGGATTGGCTTATCTGGTTTGGGCGGAAAATTCGAGTCGAGCTGGAGTCGCGCTCCCAACCGACGAGCGTCTGTGGAGAAGCCGCCGGCTCCGCGATTGTCTCCTGGACCCCGCCAGTTTAGTCGCTTGCAGGGTCTTGAGCCCTTTCACGACCGTCACCATGGAGGTGTCACCACTGCAGGTACAGCTCGCGGAAAAGGAGGGTTGTGGAGACCGAGCACGGCCGGGCATCTCCCCGGCTGCCCGAGAGGGGCGAGGCGTCCGGGCAGTGCGGTTCCGCCGCGGCGGGCTGGGAGCCCGTCTTCCCTGCGAACCCCGGCCCCCGGGGCTCGGCGTGATCGCCGCTGAAGTTTTCTCGGCCAGCCCCGCTTCTAGGAGGTTGTGCTCTGTTTCACGGTTCCCGGGCAGCGGATCGCGGTCCTCTACTCCGTCCGCCTTGTCGCGGGGGTCTGCCCGGGGCCGGGAACGCAAGCGTCACCGCCGCGTTGCTCCGCTCCCTCGGGTCGGAAATGGGGTGCACCGTCCCCGAGCAGCAAAGGCGCGGGGCCGAGCACAGTGTCCGCTCCGTGATGGATGCTCAGAAAATGCCCGTCCTGCGTTCGCCGCGCACACAGCGGCCGGGCGGTGGCCTCCGCCGCACCGTGCCTGGGACGTGGCGGACACTCGGCCGAGGTCGGCGGAGTGGAGGGGGCGAGCGCGGGTGTTTTGTCGAACGTGGAGAGCATGTCCGCGCCAGGGACACTTAGGGAGGTCGTGTGTCCATTAAAACGGACGCCCGGGAACCCGGGACGGCGGCGTCTGCACGAAGCGGTGCCCGCTGCCCCCGCACCCGCCGCCAGGCCCTGGTTTCCCGGTGTGTGCACGCGCGTCCGTGTGGCAGGCGTCTCGTTCGTGGTGTCTGGGAAACCTGCGATTGAACTTCCCATTTCTTCGCATTTCTCTTTCCAAAACTGCCAGCCTGTAAATGAAAATATGCAAATCAACAAAACCAAGAAAAACGAAGATGCTAAGAAAAGAATGTCTATTGAGAGGATCTATCAAAAGAAAACACAGTTGGAACATATTTTGCTCCGTCCCGACACCTACATCGGCTCCGTGGAGTTAGTGACGCAGGTAAAACCCGACAGGACGCAGCTCCCACGTAGTTAAAGAGCGTGGGCCTTTCCTGGTTAAATTTCTGTATGTCGTGTGCTTTCAGTGTCACCGGGACTAGCCCGACCTGGTATGCATGCATGCATGCACGCACGCATATGTAAATACACATGTAAACATATGTAAATGTATATATTTAATCCCGAAGACTCTACGGTAACCGTGATGATGAAACAATAAATAAGGGGTGAAAATAACATATCTCTTTGCCTTGTTTCTAGCAAATGTGGGTTTATGACGAAGATGTTGGCATGAACTACAGGGAAGTGACGTTTGTTCCTGGTTTGTACAAAATCTTTGATGAGATTCTAGGTGAGTAAATTCTTTTGTATAAAGATGTACTGGTGAAATCAGTCATAGGAAGTATGGTTCCTAACAAACCTTCTGTAGCCAGAACTGTCATTTCAAACAATTGTTGGCACAGATGAGGCAGTAAAATTGAATTCTTTCCTAGAAACAGTACTATGAATAAATAAAAAATGCGGAATTAACACCTTGTTGATGCTACTGCTGTGCCTGAAAACTTTCTATGTCTTTAATTATAAGAATTTTTTTAGTACTTCAATTTTTTACAAATGTGTATTTTTTTTCAGTTAATGCCGCAGACAACAAACAAAGGGACCCAAAAATGTCTTGTATTAGAGTCACAATTGACCCGTAAGTCTCTTGCTCAGTCTTTTGTTATAGTTTATTGTTACTGTTGGTTACATTTTCTTGGGTTTATAGTAAAGTTGGGGTTTTTTTAATGAAGGTTTGCAAAAATACAGAGGCAGAATACTAAAATGAACAATCTATGATACCTGTCATCTAAGTCTGACAGTTATCAACACTTTGCCATATTTGCTTCAACTGTAGTTTTTCTACAGTGTTTTACAACAAATTACAGACATTGCGACGCTTCTGTCCCTAAATACTTCAGAAAGTATCTTCAACAATTGAAGTAGCTCAGTGGATTGAGCGCAGGCCTGCGAACCAGGCAATTGTGGTTCGATTCCCAGTCAGGGCACATGCCTGGGTTGCAGGCTGGTTCCCTGCAGGCCAGTTCCCAGCAGGGGATGCATGAAAGGCAACCATACATTGATATTTCTCTCCCTCTCTCCTTCCCTTCCCCTCTAAAGATAAATAAATAAAATCTTGGGAAAAAAAAAAAAACAATTGAAGTATTCTGGACTCTAGAGCTTTGGAGCTTCCCCCCCACACACAAATGCTATGCAAATAATAAACCAGCAGGTGGTGATAGAGAGCTAACATTTCAGGTTGTAAATTCTGCTGTCCCTTTGTGGGTGGTCAAGATGCTTGTTTCACCTTTTTATTAGCCTCATCGGAATCCAAATAGCCCTTTCCGTGTGGCTCAGTGGATTGAGTGCAGGCCTGTGAACCAAAAGGTCTCCGGTTCAATTCCTAGTCAGGGAAGGAGCCTGGGTTGTGGACCAGGTCCCCAGTTGGGAGCCTATAAGAGTCCCAGGATCGCTGATGGATGTATCTCTCACAGATTGATGTTTCTCTCCCTCTCTTTCTCCCTCCTTTCCTCTCTCTCTAAAAATAAATAAAATCTTTTTAAAAAATCCATATACAATTCTCAGCATTCTATTTGCAAGCAGGGAAGTTTACAATTGATAACGTTTTTCCCTTTCATACTTGTTTGCGATCAGTTTTGTTGGGTGGGAAAGCTAAAAGAGACAGTGCAGATGATTCTCTTAAAAGCAGTATAATAATACTTTATGCAAATTTTGTTCTTTCCATTGAGTATAAATAATTTCCCATTGTTTACCCTATCATTTTAAAATTTCATGTTTTTTTCAACATTATCAGTGTCTGTGTAGGTGTTGGAACAGATTTAATTTTTTTCCCCTCTTGGCTCCTGTTTTAGGAGTATCAGGAACTGAGCATGGTGCAAAATCTAGTTCATGCTGAATTTCAAAAGGAATATATGAAAAAAACATTAAGGAATTAAGACCATGAATTTACATATTTTAGAAATAATGATATTTAAATACAAAACATGTTTAAGCATTGGTTTAACAATGAAATTCCAATTTTCTTTCCTTAGGGAAAACAATTTAATCAGTATATGGAATAATGGAAAAGGTATTCCTGTTGTTGAACACAAAGTTGAGAAGATGTATGTCCCAGCTCTCATCTTTGGACAGCTCCTAACTTCTAGTAACTATGATGATGATGAAAAAAAAGTGACAGGTAGAGTATTGAAGAAAATAAAGAACATATTGTTGCTAAAAAAGAATAAAATAAATACACCTATTCAATGACCATCTATGGCATAATTTTTTTTTAAGTTTTAAAATCTTTATAAATGCATCTCTTTGCCAGTGATTAAGAAATAAAACTGTTCATGAGATAAAAATTCAGTAATATTTTAAATTTATTTGCCCAGGTGGTCGAAATGGCTATGGCGCCAAATTGTGTAACATATTCAGTACCAAATTTACAGTGGAAACAGCCAGTAGAGAATACAAGAAAATGTTCAAACAGGCAAGTAAATGGGTATCTGGTGCCTTGATTATAAATTGTATGATACCAATTTATAATGGCATGAGTGGTTGACTTAGTTTAACATAAATTATAATCTTAAAACATGGGAAATTATTCACAAATTAAACATGGATTCGGTTATTTTTCAAGACTTATAAATTTGTGTTATTTAGTTCTAGTTTGTAAGGTGACTTGAATTTTTCATCTTTCCTATTCTTTACTCCCACAGACATGGAGGGATAATATGGGGAGAGCTGGTGAGATGGAGCTCAAGCCCTTTAATGGAGAAGATTACACGTGTATTACCTTCCAGCCTGATTTGTCTAAGTTTAAAATGCAAAGCCTAGACAAAGATATTGTTGCACTAATGGTTAGAAGAGCATATGATATTGCTGGATCCACTAAAGATGTCAAAGTCTTCCTCAATGGAAATAAGCTGCCAGTAAGTGTTTTCCAGTCAGGGAATTTGTGATCATTGTCAAAAGCAAAATTGATTTTCTCTCCTCTCATATGTTTTTCTTAACACTACTCAGATATGTTCCTGAAAAGAAAACTGTACACCACTCTTTAATAAGCTCATTTTAAACTTACAAATGGAAATTTCTCAAAGAAACACCTAACTAAATCCTTTTCTGCCCTTTAATTCTTTCATGTCCATCACTGAACAATCATTTCATTGGTTTTGAAAAATGAGTTATTATTGAATCTGTTTTTTGTAACTTTTTTGTATACCATTTTAATTCTTGTACAGGTGAAAGGATTTCGTAGCTATGTGGACATGTATTTGAAGGATAAGGTAGATGAAACTGGCAATCCATTGAAAATTATCCATGAACAGGTAAACCACAGATGGGAAGTGTGTTTAACAATGAGTGAAAAAGGCTTTCAGCAAATTAGCTTTGTCAACAGCATCGCTACTTCCAAGGTAATTTTATTCTTGAATTATTAATCATGATATATATTTTCATATGTATTCTTACTGATTTTAATATATACAATGAACTTGGATATTTGGCTACCTCAATGCAAAGTAAGCTAAATTACACTTTGATATTGGTTATTATAATTTTGAGGATGCTGAGCTTTACAATTGGGCATTTTTCCTCATTAGGGTGGCAGACATGTTGATTATATAGCTGATCAGATTGTGGCTAAACTTGTGGATGTTGTGAAGAAGAAGAACAAGGGTGGTGTTGCAGTGAAAGCACATCAGGTATTGTATTTTAGCACAGTTCTTTTTCCAGTCAAGGATGAAGAGAAAGGCTATTAATAAAGCATGAGTAAGTTTTTAGTGATTTAATATCAACTTTTACTGCAGGTGAAAAATCACATGTGGATTTTTGTGAATGCCTTAATTGAAAACCCAACCTTTGACTCTCAGACAAAAGAAAACATGACTTTACAAGTCAAGAGCTTTGGATCAACATGCCAACTAAGTGAAAAATTCATCAAAGCTGTGAGTACTTAGAGGGAAATAAAAAATAAAAGCATTATTCTCCATTGTTCTTCTCAGCTCTGCAGAACAAAGATTCCTCCTACATGTTTTTTCACTCTAAAAAGGAAATTTAAGCCCTGACTGGGGTTGGGCATCATTCTGCAAAGCGAAAGTCACGGGTCTAATTCCCAGTCAGGGCACATGCCTAGGTTACGGTTTGGTCTCTGGACCAGCACGTGCAAAAGGCAACCAGTCGATGTTTCTCTCTTACATGAATGTTTCTGTCCCTTCCTCCCTCCCTTTCCCTCTCTAAAATAAATAAAATCTTTAAAAAATAATAATAATAAACAGCTTTCACCTCACTGTTCTTACCGAGGTCTTTGATTATCACCTATATGCCTATATCCCCCCCATTTTCTTTTTAATTTATTGATTTGAGAGACATCAATTTGCTATTCTACTTATCCATGCACTTACATTGATTGTTTCTTATATGTGTCCTGACCGGAATGGAACCTGCAACCTTGACATATCAGGACAACGGTCTACCAACTGAGCTACCCATCCAGGGCACCTGTATTCCCCTATATCATATCACCATTCAGTTTAGATCACTTCTGAACCTGACCCATCTAAGTGCTTGCCAAACATTGAGTGCCTGAAGTTTCTCTCAGTCACACATCCGAAACTCAATTCTCTTCATACTCACTGGCCTCCATACAAGGACCCCTTCCACCCCCCCAAAATCAAATCTTATTTCCTATCGTAGTAAAAGACCCCCATGCATAGTAAAATGTCACATAAATAAGAAAGCCGGGACCCTTCTCTTTGCCCCTGCAATCCAATATGAATCATGTTTTGGATATATCAGTAGCCTTCCC